AAGCTCGACAGAAGCCCAGTCAAATAGGCTATAATCAGAGAACAGTGGAACACCATCATACGCGAGTCCATGATTTATCCCCTTAAAGCAGAGCACAAGGCAGGGAGATAACAAGTACCATCTTGTAACATGTTTTGGTATGATGTGGCAAGAATGGAACCCCAGACCTGCTCCAGTCTGATGTTTTATCTACTACACCACAATGTCAATGTTTAAATCAGTGGCTCACAGACAGATCCGATATGATACAATTTAGCAACAATACTGTATGAATCGCACGACTCAGTTCAGTGTCTTCAACCTGTATATTTAGAGCAAAACTGAACATTAAAATCATTCTGTTGAGTTGAGTCTCTGTTTCAGTTTCCTTGCTGGTATATGAGAACATAGTACTGACTAATAAATAGCTATCAAATATCATGCACTATAAATATTTCAGAATTATTTTCTGCAAAAAACTGTAACATATACACAGGCTATCCGTCAATAACAATTTGGTTCGTAGTTGCTGTATTTAGGTGTCATTAGTTGAGAATGTTGAGTCTTGTTTCAAATATTAATCTTCTGTGAAAACATGTCACATATCCATTATATTCATTCAAAACAAATGTAGAGATATGATGAAGAGGATATGGTAACTGAAACACAGACGGTCCAAAGATACGGTCACAGTTGGACTGCATACTATTACCGGTATATCGCAATACGCTTTTCAAACGATACATAGAGAACAGGTGCATTGGGCAAAGAACATATATGAAGTTTTTGTGACTATCTTTATGGTTTGAGTTAAAATCTACACAGAGTTTCGTTCACAACAGATGTTTTACTTCGTTATTCAATAATAAAACGGCATACTGTAATTCTGTAAATTGTTAAAAAAGAAAAAAGAATACTTGACTATACAACCTAATTTTGAGATTGCTGTTATCAGAAACATAACATATATTGTTTAGGGACGTATAATGCAGAAAATAGGAGAGACATGTACAATTAGTGCCACTGTCAAACACTTAAGTTCCCAATATATCGCAATATGGGTAGCTGAATCGCAATATATTGCAATACAATCTATTTGCCAATACACAGCCCTAGGTGGACCCCACCCCACCCATCAGGTGGGCTGGTGAGGGTCCTGATTAAGTTTTGTTTTCTGCATAAATGAACTCTAGCATCTACCTGATGGTAAATTGGGTAGGCAGTCAGCAAGGATGTGTTCTCAATCCTTGCTCTTTACCAATCTCAGACTTCAAACAGATTCATGATAAATTTGTACCCAGCAGTTGATGAAAACAATTTGTTACACAATACATATGAAAACAGAAAGGAGTACATTGCATATTTATGTATAGAGAATAATACTGGAATCAAACGGACATCTGCTTCAGACTCCGCAACAGGCTGTTTGCACCATATGCAGTTTGATTTCTTCCAGAATAATTCATGTATCTCGTAAACTCCTGTACAATCTGGTATGGACACTTGTACTGTATTTTATTATGAGCTAGCAAGTTACTGGCCATTATGAGCCGATAATATTTCCAAATCATGAATTTCTTAATGACTGAACTCCGTAAACGTGGTATAATGATCCGATAAATATGCAAATGAGGCAAATCAAGGAGGTATCTACTTTTCATAAGCTACATCAATCTGATGCCTACTTGTTTGATAAACTGTTGCCAACCAACCCAATTATATACCTTGTCACTAATAGCAAAACACTGCCCCATATCACCCAGCAGTGTGTATTGAATGGGGAAGATCACTCAGAAACTGCAGTTTCTACAAATATTTTAGTGAAAGACAACTTGAAGTGTGTCAACATCAATTGTGATATCACAAACAACCTTATAATGTCAGGCTAGTAAAATATGCCAGACTGTTGTGACCAATCAGAGAGTAAAATCTTACAAAAGTGATGATAAGGACAAGTCATTAAAAACATTGATTCTAACTTGGACTAACAGCCATTGCTCTCTGGTACTTGACGGAAGAGGCTGATATTTGTAGGATGTATTTTTTATTTTATATCTGCATGAAGAAATACTGCCAGTTAACAAATTTAGGTTTAAAATAATATAAACTTCATAAATGTTAAATAATGTATTGACATGTTATAGCTATGAAATGTTTTGAATATCCAATGAAATTCCAGTTTTGTCGTCAATGTTAGACAAGGTCAGATTTTACTAATGGTATACAGCCTTACAATTTAACATCCATTTGTGCTTGGTTTATGGATGTGCTGACCTTAAAAGTTAATTATTTTTTTAAAAAACCCAACAGAATTATGGGTTTTTTAAATTCTGTTGACAGTAAACAGGAACAGAAATCTTTCTCACAATTTAACATAAATATATTTTTTAAACCTACAGATTTAAATTAAACCTCAAAATGATTTTAAAATCCTGTAAAATGCCCTTTTTTATAAAAAAAATTCTGACCTACTGACCAAAGTTTCCACTAACAAATTCAATAACTGAAAAATAAGATTCATCTGGCTTAAATAGTTTTAAATGTCAGGCAGTCAGGAGCTCTAACAGAAATTTCAAGAAAACATTTAGTGTGTTAGTAGGGGAACTGTCGTGGATCAGTTGGCAAGATGGAACCAGAAAATACAGAACCACCTTACCTCTCTGGTTATTGTGATTATGGGGCCATTAGGGCTTGATTCCCCACATGGGTACAATATATAAAACCCATTCCTGGTGTCCCCCACCGTGATATTGCTGGGATGTTGCTAAAAGCGGCAAAAAAAGGCAGAAGAAAGTGTCTTTTGACAAGAGTGGATATAGCTGTCTGTCCTGGCTGCTGTTGTACAAAATGATATCCTCGCTGAGGTGACCGTAACTCACTTACCTTAACATAGACTAAGTGTGGTCTTAGCACGAAGGTGACCATATCTCACATACCTTAACAATAGACTAAGGGTGGTCTTAGCGCTAAGGTGACAGTAACTCACATACCTTAACAATAGACTTAGGGTGGTCTTAGCCTAAGGTGACAGTAACTCACATACCTTAACAATAGACTTAGGGTGGTCTTAGCGCTAAGGTGACAGTAACTCACATACCTTAACAATAGACTTAGGGTGGTCTTAGCGCTAAGGTGACCGTAACTCACATACCTTAACAATAGACTTAGGGTGGTCTTAGCGCTAAGGTGACCGTAACTCACATACCTTAACAATAGACTTAGGGTGGTCTTAACGCTAAGGTGACCGTAACTCACATACCTTAACAATAGACTTAGGGTGGTCTTAGCGCTAAGGTGACCGTAACTCACATACCTTAACAATAGACTTAGGGTGGTCTTAGCTTAAGGTGACCGTGAACTCACATACCTTAACAATAGACTTAGGGTGGTCTTAGCTTAAAGGTGACCGTAACTCACATACCTTAACAATAGACTTAGGGTGGTCTTAGCCGTAACTAAGGTGACCTAAGTGAACTCACATACCTTAACAATAGACTTAGGGTGGTCTTAGCGCTAAGGTGACCGTAACTCACATACCTTAACAATAGACTTAGGGTGGTCTTAGCACTAAGGTGACCATAACTCACATACCTTAACAATAGACTTAGGGTGGTCTTAGCGCTAAGGTGACCGTAACTCACATACCTTAACAATAGACTTAGGGTGGTCTTAGCGTAAGGTGACCATATCTCACATACCTTAACAATAGACTTAGGGTGGTCTTAGCGCTAAGGTGACCGTAACTCACATACCTTAACAATAGACTTAGGGTGGTCTTAGCACTAAGGTGACCATAACTCACATACCTTAACAATAGACTAGGGTGGTCTTAGGGTGACCATGGTACTTAACAATAGACTAAGGGTGACCAAGGTGACTCACATACCTTAACAATAGACTTAGGGTGGTCTTAGCGCTAAGGTGACCACAACTCACATACCTTAACAATAGACTTAGGGTGGTCTTAGCACGAAGTTGACCGTATCTCACATACCTTAACAATAGACTAAGAGTGGTCTTAGCACGAAGGTGACCATATCTCACATACCTTAACAATAGACTTAGGGTGGTCTTAGCGCTAAGGTGACCGTAACTCACATACCTTAACAATAGACTTAGGGTGGTCTTAGCGCGAAGGTGACCGTATCTCACATACCTTAACACAGACTTAGGGTTGCTTTATACAACAGCACCCTAATCAGTGTTCACGAATAGCATTTGACCCTCTGACAATTCCGGCAGATTCGTCAACAGTCCGATAGAAGTCTACAACCCACCGGCCCAAGTGTCTGACTGGATATTTGACAATGACTTTGACTGAAGTTGTTATATATATATATGACACGTGTTTGCTGTTTATGAATCTTATGGTTGTTAATAATTTCAATGCCAATTATAAGAAATGTTAAATCTGAAATGTGTGTTTAATTTTATTCTATGGGTCCTGTGACTTTTCATTGGGTCAGACAGACATCTGAAACTTACAGGACCCAATATCCTGTTACTTTGAAACACCATTTGTGAACACTGCATTCAGCAACTGTGTCTCACAGAAGTCAAGGAATTCATATACAACACCATGAACATCAACAGGTCCTCAGACCCTTCAACATACAAGCCATGGAACCGATCACCATTTACAGCCGAATACCACCTGAACTCACACAGTGAGGATTATCTGGAATAATGGCTGTTGCAAATGTAGTTACAAAAAAATACAAGAATACCTATTTTCACAACGGATTATACACTGCATTTTGTTCACATTTTATCATCTCAACTTGCCAAATTCCATAAACCTTCCAGTCAAACTGATCCATTGACTAAGAATTAGTTGTATACATGACACTGAATCACAATGTAAGAAAATCATAGAAGCAATTTTTTACCAAACTTGACATATATTGTCTTGCTTTGATTTAGTGGAAGTTGGCTAATATATTGTAACGATTCCACTCCGACCATACTGGCTGACAGCTCTGTTCAAAGGCAACAATTGAGTTAAAAAATGCGGTTCTCACCTTGGAAGAAGAAAGCAGTCGTCAGACCTCTTGCCTCCCCCATAGGAGCCCAGAAGATGGAGCGGGTGGTGGGGGATGGGCACTTTGATGGGGCTGACATTTTCGGAGGAGGTCTGAGACAGTGACGATGTAACTGCTTCCACCGCCTGCGAAATTAGCCTTTCCATGTGCAGCATCCAAGCAGACGTCTCATGGAATGCTGAGTCTGAAAACATCACACAGTGTCACAGAAGTCCACAAGTATATACACGCATGCCACACATCAACATATATCGAGATGCATCATCACTCATCCCTGACATATTCCTTCTCGGAACAGCTGTTCCCCCCTTCACACCTTTCGGTAACACCATAAGATGATGAGACAGTCAATCACAGAACACACAGTGATGTGATCCGAATATGGTTGACCAATCAAATTTGTTCCCAAGTGACCGATCTAACAGAAGCAACTGATCTATCTATACCTTGAGTTTAGTAACTTTAGTTACTGAACGGAATTGAATTGATTTTATAGTTGAACAAATTTTATAGTTGAACAAATATGCAGATGCTTAAACATTTCGTAATTTTAGATACAATGGGTGATATTGAAAGGAACATTGCAAGGCATCACCAGGGTCTGATGTAACCAAACAGACGGATGAGGAGCTGATGGACAGTGATTGTCTTAAAACAGATTACACCTCTAGACACAGGTACATCATAACACACCTACCTTACTCTCTCTACCTGTCTGAGTGTGACTGACCTAAAATAGATCACACCTCTAGACACAGGTACATCATGACAAACCTACCTTACTCTCTCTACCTCTCTACCTGTCTGAGTGTGAATGACCTAAAATAGATTACACCTCTAGACACAAGTACATCATGACACACCTACCATACTCTCTCTACCTGACCTGTCTGAGTGTGAATGACTTAAAATAGATTACACCTCTAGACACAGGTACATCATAACACACCTACCTTTCTTTCTTTCAGCCAAATGATCATAATTACCTTACAAATGTTGCATTACAGCGTTAAAACATTGCTAATGAGCACTGCAAGTGTGTCATCCTTTGTAATCGATTCATCCTTGTTAGAATGCACACACACACACACATCACATTCCATCATGCATGTTTGTCTGACTGCATATAATTAACATCCAGATGCAAGTTGTGCATACACAACCCTGAAATATTGTGCAACTCTCCAAATGTCCATAAAAGTACGTGGTTTGTTCTGAAGGACAGTGATAATGTTTCTAAAGGTTCTCGACATTTTTTAATCATGTGTGGAAATGATATGGAAGAATGTCATATCAAAAGTTGATAAAATCCTGTAACTGTAACAGTGACATTTGTCTCAAGTCACTGGCAGTATACCAGTGTTAAGGATTTACCTGGACTAGTGGTGGGAATCGGAAACCAACTTCACTATGAATTATCGGAGGACTTTTGGCGAACGATCATCGATTATAATCGAAATATACACATTTTTAATGTAATCACCAATTATTCCCAAGTTTTTTTTCTAATTAATGCTTTTTTTCTAATTAATGCTTTTTTTTCTAACTAATGCTTTTTTTAAAACTAATACTGTCATGCAATGAAATGCACGCATGCAAGAAAGACACTGGAACTGTAATTACAATAACAGTGGTTACAATGTTACAATGCTTACTGTCATCTGTTCATTGCTTGATTATTTTATGCTATATCATATATATATATATATATATATATTAATCATTAATCATTAATCCTTCTTCGATCGCTTTTCGGTTATTTTCGATCATCGGAACAACACTAACCTAGCCCTCCTCAGTGGCTGATATTTTTTGCACCAAGTTTGAAACAAATGTCTGGAACTATTACTAAACTGAAATTAAGAATTTGCAAAGTCATGTTCATGCGGCAATAACTGATGTTGCTGCAAGATGACATGCATTTCACTGATAACAGGGGAGATAAAAAAAGCCAGTATGTTTAATTATACATGTTTGCATTCAGTGCAAAATTCAAATACCCCTGAATTTTCTGAAATAAGAATTTTTTTAAGAACTCAAAGTTTTGAACACAATTGCATGGAGCTTTCTTCCTAGTTTGTTTGCCATGGGCAATTAGTTTGATATCCAAGATCACATTAAGATATCAGAAACAATCAAAGAAAGAATGTGTATTACAATAATACATAATTAGTTATGTGGAATAGTTTCATTCACAACTTATTTTGTACTCAAATATAAAATCTAATTCCTTGGTTGGTTTACACACTCTTTGAACACTCACATCACCATTTCTACATCAGCAATATTCCAGCAATATTCCAGATATACGGCAGGGGACACCAGAAAGGGGTTTCACACGTTGTACCCATGTGGGGAATCAAAACCGAGTCTTCGGGGTGACAAACTAACGCTTGGCTATGTCACCGCCCTCCCATTTCTACATAAAACACAGGATTGTATCAAATATTCAACTTAAATAGGCTTAGGTTCACTAATCTCATGGATTTTTCACTCATATTCATGTTCCTTATCTACCTGAAGATCTGAGGATACCTGGTCTCATTAAGTACCTGAAGATCTGAGGTTACCTGGTCTCATTAAGTAAAGATCTGAGGATACCTGGTCTCAAAGTACCTGAAGATCTGAGGATACCTGGTCTCATTAAGTACCTGAAGATCTGAGGTTACCTGGTCTCATTAAGTAAAGTTGCGCAGTATCGACACATCTAATATAGTGGTATGAATAAGTAAAGAAGGCCATTGTTTTAAATCATCACGTTTCCCTGTCACTGACCTACTGTTAACTGATGAAGATTGGCCTCAGTCTACCAACAACAATTCTCATTGGATAATTAGCCTGACGTTATTAACTTAACCAATCACGTTTCGCCTTATTTCAGCGCTCGAAACTGTTTGAGTTGGAGTCAAAATTACGTTCTTGCTGTGTGGAAATAATTTAAATAAATATTCAGATATTGAATCGAAATAGTGATAATGGTTATTGAAACTCGAAACTAAGGTGTCAGATTCGATTTCCGAATTGATCGAACCAAATCGTTGCAGCCCTAATCAAGATTTAGTGTTGGCCTTGGTTCAAACCCAAAACAAAAAATCTCAAAACCCTGTCAAATTTTGAACTTGGTCTCACATACATGTATGATTTCAGTCTCTTGAAAATGTCAAAGGGTTTATTCTTAATGTATGTAAACATTGTGCCATCATATAGTTGAGGTCATAATATTCTGACACCTGCACCCTCACCCCAAAACAAGGAATATTTGTGTTTTCTTTTTGGCATTATTTTCATTAAAATATAAATTTCTAAATCGAGGTGGTAAACAATTGAAACTGAATCATTTCAGAAACTGACAACTGACTGTCTCAAGAACCTATTTTCTCTTCATGTAGACTGATCGAGGGGTCAAAGGTTACTCAAGCTTCTTCAGATGCAATCTAATGTGAAGGTGTTTATTCTCAGATCTTCATGCAGATCACGGGCCTAGAAGTCAGTAAGTGAATGTTGTTTTGTGCCTCAGTAGTGTGGGAAATTTATGCTGGTCCTGTGGTCGCTGGCTAGTAACAATTCATTAGGACCACTAAATGATAAACTTGCAGTGGTCCTGGAAGCCAGTGTATTTAGTTAAGTAAATCTACGAATGGTATTTTGGACCACTGAAGTACAGACAGGACCACTAATTATTGTCCTCTCACTGGACCTTTGAAAGGTTTCTGTCCCTGCACGGTAAGCCATAATCCAGCTACATCACTACAGTCAGCAAATAGGGTTAATAATCAAGATCGCCAAACCAAACCTTAAACTTCAGCCTGTTTTACACAATTATTTGTAAATATATTTTGCTATTTACAGGACACCTTCACAGTTATAAATCTGCTAATTGGACCAGATAAACTGGTGGTTGACAGTATGAGCACAGTCACATTACTGAGGGCACTGAACCTCATCATCCAATCCATGTAAGTCCTTCTCATGACACGCAATACATACTTGGGTGCATTCTAGCTTCAGGTTCCCTGATTAGTAATCAGCCATAAGTGCGGAAAAATCTGACAATTGTTACATCCAGCTTTTGACAAACTCAAACATAAAATCTTTTACTTTCAACCTTGAGATGCAATAGATTCAAAACTAGGGTTGAGGGTGATTGTGTGCATGTGATGTGTGTGTGTACATGCTTGCATGCCAGTCTGTCTGTCTGGACGTATGTCTGTTAAGACTAACAACACTGATATAAAGCACAAACCCAAATAACCAAATTATGCCTCAGTGTGACATGATTACCCCATTCGGAGATATGGGCCTTCAAGCCTTCAAGCCCAGCACTAGTCAGGGTAACAAGAAGCACCACATTTTAATGTCTTTCGGTATGCCATAGTGAATGAGTGAGTGAGTGAGTGAGTTAGTATGGTTTTCTGCAGCTTTTAGCAATATTCCAGTATATCACAGCAGGGGACACCAGAAAAAGGGCTCCACACATTGTACCCCTGTGGCAGGGGTTGGCAGTTGAACCCGGATCTTTGGCATGACGAGCGAAAGCTTTAACCACTAGGCTACCCCACCGCCTGGTATGCTATAGAGCAGGACCAAATCATTACACTCTGTGGACAGGTGCTCTATTCGTTATACAACGGAGATGGTCTCCTGAACTAGAACAGGTACTACTACTAGAGCTTGGTTACAGTTATGCTATATTTATCACAGATGTTTGATAGGCATTTAGAAGTTGGTAGGGTAATACAACACACTTGATATGGATGTGCAACTTCTGCATTATTTACACATAACGCTTCTGGGCTAATACTTGCCCCTTCATCAGGTGATACATCAGGTGATGTACCTTAAACTTTTTCCTAAATATAAATAACATGAATATGATTAATAATGAAAAAAAGGGTAGAAATCAGATTAGATTGCTTACATTAACAATAGAACCTTGCAAGTAAAAGCAGAAGTAGTGCTAGAACTGAAGATCCAGGTTAGAATTGCAACCCTTCAGCAACCCTTCCTTGTGGTAAGACGCGACTACCGGGATCGAGTGGTCAGGCTCGCCGACTTGGTCGACACATGTCATAGTATCCCAATTGCGTAGATCAATGCTCATGCTGTTGATCACTGGATTGTCTGATCAAGAGTAAACAATTTACAGACTGCTGCCATATAGCTGGAATATCACTGAGTGCAGTG